ACCCTTTTTTTTTTTTGGGGGGGAACAAAAAGGGGGGGGGAGTAAATACATTTGGGGGGGGGGAGAAAACCTCCCTTCCGCAAAGGGGGGAATGTCCCCCCCTTTTTTTTAAAAAAGGTAAAATTTTCGTGGGGGAATTAACAGGGGGTTAAAATTTTTTTGGGGAGGGAAAACCCCAAAAAAAAAAATAATTTTTAGGGGGGTTTTCCCCGGCCGAAAGGAAAAAAACCAAAAATCGCGAACCCCCTTGGGGGGGGGGGGGCCCCCCTTTTGGGGGCTCCCAAAAACCCCCCGGGGGTTTTGGCGTTGGGGATTGGAAAACCTGGTCCGGGGAAAACCCGGGGGTTCTCCCCCCGGTTTTTTGGGGGGGGGGGGTAAAAGGTAAAAAGGTTTGGGGCGCCCGGGTTTGGGGTCCCCCCCCCCCCCCCCCCCCCCCCCCGGAGAACCCGTTTGGAAAGGGACGGGGGGTCAATGGTAAAATGATTACGGCAAGCAAAAAAGGAGTACCCCCCCCCCCCCCCGAGAACCACTGGTAGGCATGCCAGTCCCGTTGTACATGTCTCCCCCACAGCAAACACCTCGCATGTTCACCTACCTGCCGGTGCGTGCATGGCGCGAGTTGCCAGTGCGCGCGCTGCTGCCTCCTACGGAAGAATTTCCCACTGCGCCATCGGTATCACATCACCACCAACACTCACGAGCCTCACTAGTTTTTCGGGAGGCAGTGTGGTTTACCGCATACACCTCGTACATGCCCACCTCACGATAGTGCCGTGTTCACTGAGACGCAACCTGCTGATGCGCGCTGCATCCTCTTGCTACTGTGTGCACCTCTGCCACATTCGTGAATGCAAACCAGCGGAGGTGCACCACCTAGTCAGCGCGATGCAGAAGAGCTGGTGGCAGTGCGCGTCGGCTGTGGCGAACGCCTTGTAAGTCTCATGCCCTGAAACGCTACTCTGTGCATAGATTGTATCTTGTCTTTTGATGCGAAAGACGACTCGAACCGACTTGTTTTTTATGGAGATTGGTGTGTCGGGTACCCTGTTGTGTTAACCTTGACGTGTATCTGCGCATGCATACATGGGCGTTTGATGTTGGTGGCGTGATGAAGCTTTGTCGTTGGTGGGGGGGGTGTGGGGGGGGTTGGGTGGGCGTTGGAATCCTGGTGCTGCTGATGTTGATGTCGTACTCCCGTGTCCGAGCAAGAATGTCCATACGGCGCAGGTCCAAGAAAGAGGGCCGAACAACGCAGAACTTGAGTTGGGTCGATATGGCCTAAATATGTTTTTTGTCCACAGTACCTCCTGAGAAAGGAGCACGTAGACGAAGTTCGGCTTGTTGCTCCTTTTGCTGCTTGAGTGGGGACACAATGCTTGTACATCTTGTCGTGTTTTTTTCGTGAAGTCATCATGGCATCGGCACCAGCGTCCACAATCCATGGCAAGAACAAGCTTTGCTCTGGAATGACCGGGTAAGTACGGACGAGTGCACGTTTGCTGAAGGTGGCAGCAGAATACAGCACTTTCTGTTCGCTGCTTGTACTTCTAGCCGTTTTTACCTTTATCTCTGGTCGTCGCGTGACCTGCGCACAGGGC